CTGCAAGCTGCAAATCTTCTTCTCTAAACAAGTCTTTCTGTTTTTTATTATTGTTTTTGCTGTTGTTGTTGTTTCTTTTAAATTCTGAAAAATCTGCATCTAAGGTTGGTTTCTGATGATTACTTTAGGCCGCTTAATCAGATCGAGCAAGCCAGAGGAAGAGGATTGTGCTTGCAATTCATCGGTAAATTGCCCTCTACCATATTTACAGGCAGCAGAGTTGAAGCAGAGGATGGCACACGCCTTCAGATTGCTTTATTTGATGCCACTAATGAGACTGTTGTCTCATTTGGTCCCTTCTCTTCAATTAAACTTGAGATTGTTGCCCTTGATGGTGATTTTGGTGCTGATGAGCAAGAAGATTGGACAGAAAATAAATTCAATGCCCGTGTGCTTCGTGAAAGAGAAGGCAAAAGGCCATTGGTGACTGGCGAGCTCAATGTTACCCTGAAAGATGGAATAGGTACACTTGGTGATGTGTTCTTCACTGACAACTCTAGCTGGATAAAATGTAGAAAATTCAGGTTAGGAGCCAGAATCTTGCAAAGAATTTCTGGTGAGGTGACAATTAGGGAAGCTAGGACTGAAGCGTTCGTGGTCAAGGATCATCGTGGAGAGGGTAAGTTCAAGTCTTTCCAACTTTACTTTTGCTTTCACTTTTTTTTTTTTTTTTTCTCTTTATGAATATCCTCATGAAAACTGATTTCTCTTTTGAAAGGCATATGCATGAAGTACTTAGTTGACCATCTTTGCTGCTTTGTTGAAAACTTAATATGCTTTTACTTTTTTCATGCTGTCACAATTTTACCCAAATTTATTACTCGAGATTGATGGGTAGTTGGTTCATGCAGCGTACAAGAAACACTACCCTCCATACCACACTGATGAAGTGTGGCGTTTGGAAAGAATTGCCAAAGATGGTGCTTTTCATAAGCGGTTGGCTGATGAAAAGGTTAAAACTGTGAAGGACTTCCTACGATTGAATGCAACAGATCCAAACACTCTACGCAATGTAAGAAAAATTATTCTACAATACTACTTTAGTAGCATGTTGATTTCGTAGTGTTTTAGTAATGAACCTTTATGAATTGTGGGACTGTAGATGCTTGGTGGTGGGATCTCTAACAGGATATGGGACGCAATAATAGATCATGCAACAACTTGTGTTCTAGATGATGATGAGCTGTACGCTTATCATGGAGTTGCCCAAAGGGTTGTACTTCTCTTGAATTCCATCTACAAGGTTGTAGCAGCATCATTTGATGGCCAAAATTTTCTGCCTCTGGAAGAACTAACCTTAACTCAGAAGGTTTGTGTCTTATTTCTTGAAACTCAAAGTTCTGCGTGTAGGGTATCAATAAAATTCAATTGCCAATGTTAGCACTTTCATTGTTTGTTTGGATTGGTTGGTTGGAAGTGATTTCTTGGCCCTGATTATCCTGAGTACTCGATCTTAGTTCTTAAGTTAGCCAAAAATACTCATGTCTGAAAAATCATGGATCATTTTTACCGCACTTTGGTTTTGGAAATGTCTCATCTGATTTAAAATTCATCAACTTCTGTATTTAATTTGCAGCTTTTGGTAGATGAAGTGAAACGCCAAGCTTACAAAAATATTCATGAGTTTATCTTTGTTGATCGGCGTGCAATTATGGGCCCTTCAAGACCCTTGACAACTTTGCAATTTGAGCCATCTAACAGTCCAAATTTGGGGCCACAGGAACTTGATTTCTCAGTTGCACTCCAAGGTACAGAACATATATATACCTTGTTATTTCATTCCATATCCCATCAACAGCCTCTCCAAATTCTCTTTTAGGATTTCAGTTTCAATTTCACGGTTCTTTCACCATTTCCTTGATTCCGTAATCTAAAATCCAAGACATTTGTGCAGGTGAACCTGAAATGCAGCTGGCTTTTAGCCAGTCACCAAATTCAGCATCATACACCTATGAATCAGAAGGTTCCCACCAATTACAAGCATTCAATCCAACATTGAGAAATAGTTTCACAAAGAAGCATCTCTTTCCCATTCCTTACAATGGAGAAAACGGTTGGTCTCAAACTTTTCTGCCAGCATCTGTCATTCCGGGTACTCATTTAGCCAATGATGACATTTCTCAAATGCCAAACTGGTCTCTGGTTAACACACCATGGGACCTAGGTAATGGCTTTTGCAATGAATCGCATTATGAAATCCCTCTCCTGATTTCTAAATCCCGGGCAGGCTGGTGTAAGATCCGAGCTGCCTTTAAGATCCGAGCTGCCTTTAAGTGGATGTCGGTAGGGCGGGATGGAGCTGCCAAAAAATTGGCAATGGGAAGCGCTGTCTGTATGTAGGTTTCCAGGTTCCAGAATTTCAACATCTCAACAGCTCATAATCATTGAGGAGGCAGAAGTCTCCCAAGATGCATAGCTGTAGTCTTGTTGAATTTCTGCAAGTAGGTAGATTACTTTAAGCCATCTCCTCCTAAGTCCTAGGAGGCAAGTTTCTTCTTAGGGTCTGGCAGCTTATATTTGTAGCTCGTGGGTTTTCATGTGCCAAAGGCTTTGTCTAGATTAGTACAACATCAAGAGTCAATCTTTCTCGTATGTGTGTTTCAGCTCATCCCTTGTAAAAATTGCAGCTGGGTTTTATTGTACATGGTGTTTAAATAACTTGTATAATTATGTCAAGCTACTCCATTTCGTCTCTCCTTGTTCAAATACAGTTGCGTTTTGTATATGTTCTCATTTTCCCCAAATTTAGGAAATGAAACTTATTGATTATGATGTATGAAACACTAGTTTCCTAATATTGATCAAATTACTATTCTCAAAAGGGATGAAGAGGTAAATGAATTTCTTTTGAGTTTCTTAATCCTTCCTTTGGATCTGCTTTCTTGGTGATTTTTCTCATAATTGAACAGAACATTTGGAAGAATACTTCCTCAAAAAGGATTCACACAAATTTATACCATACAAATCTTCTAGAAATGGGAAAGGCCTGCAACTGCAAGATAATGACATCTAAGAGGAGTGTAAATGATACCAGAGATGTCTTGGGCATCACTTTTTTTATTTTGAACTCCAGCTAACTTTGCACATGGGTAATCAGCCCATTTGGTTGTGTAGGTGCACCAGCACTACCAAGCTGATCTTGGTTCAATTCCCCCCTTTACACAAATTGTTAATGCTTAAAAGTTCCCCAAAAAAAAAAAAAAAAAAAAAACTCCAATGAATTTTGACATCATATTTTATATGGTAATACTATAATTATAACACTACATAATATTATAATTATATTATTTTTAATATAATATGGGTGGTGGTTTGTGGTCCTGCTATAATTGTACTTAGTGGTCCATTGGCTCAAGATGTGTCAAATGTCTATTGCAAAGGGTGTTAGGCGCAGTTGGCTGATAAAAAAAAAAAAATTAAAGGAGTGTTAGCATGGTTTGCAAGGCAGTTTATTCCTCATTTTATTAATTAAGTTTTAAATTTTTTAGTAGTCAATAATAATAATTTCTTATAAATTGCTAACTCCAACATGAATAATATGTTTTTTACTAACTCAAAATTTTTTAAAAAAATCTTAAAGTGTGTAAATTAATTCTAAAACACTCCAACAGTTACACCAAAAATATTCCATACTACATTAAGAGAAAAGGTAGACAACATGGACACAAAAATCTGTAATCAAGAGGCAATTGTTCTACTCCCTGTTTAGGCACCTAATTTTGTTTATCACCCGATCCAATAGACAGATTTAGCAATTGAAAAGGTAAGTTGAAGACTCAATTAAGACAAAAAAAAAAAAAAAATGCAAATCCAGTACTAATCCGCAATTCTTGACAAAATAAACCTGGTTATGATGACAAATCATTTTGTTAATTTTGTCATGGCTATATAAATCTATTTAATTTAATTATAATTAATATTTATTATTTAATAAAATATTAATTAAATTAAATAATTTTTGTATATTCTCAACAAAAGATTAGCTGACGATATTCATACCTAACAAAATCAATAAAAAGAGATAGTTATTTCATTTTGAGTCCTTTAGTTTGCCTATTAAATTGCATTAAATTAACTAATAATGTGGTGATTTAAATAAAAAAAAATTATTATTTAAAATAACATTTTAAATTTAGATTTATAAATAGAGAAATAAATATAAGAGAATTTTTTCTAATTAGATTTAACGTAATTAAATTATAAATTAATTAAAATTTAATATAATTTTTAAATACTAAGAGTTAATATAAAAAATTATATTAAATTATAAAATATAAATCATTAAATAAATAAAATAATTAATTTTATTTGTCTTTATCTCTTAAAAATTAAAAATAAAATTATTCTAAAATTACGTAATTTTAATTAAAAAATTACAAAAAATGACAAAAGGTACTTTAATTTATATTTTAAAAACAATGTATTTTAATTTTTTTAATAAAAATTTATTAAAACAATATACTGTTAAAATAATTTTTTTCATAATTATTAAAAAATAAAATGAATAAATACTATTCTTATAAATAAAACCTTAAACATCAAAAGACTCATTTTTTATAAAACAATTATAATTATACGATTTAACATAATTCCAACTATACAATGCTTTTTCTTCACTTTAATAAAAAAACTATGTAAAACTATGTAATTTAATGGCACAGGATGTAGTTTCCAACAACTCAAGGAGCATTAACACAAGTATCGAAGAAAATATCTACCCCAAGCGGAGACTAACTATTGTCAGGCGGAAATCTCTCGAACTTTTCTCCTTCATGTAATTTCACAAAGGCGGACAAGATATTTTTTCTCTCCCCAAATCCCAGCCACCGCTCTCTCTCAACACCGGAAAAAAGGTAAAATAAAAAATCTCCTTCTTTCTCAGAAACCAAACAGCAGAATAACTCTATCAATTTCTCCTAATCAAACTTGCTTCCTTGATTCATCGTTTACGTTCTTCGCAGTGGCTATGGATTTCTAGTGTCGTCTATGTGTGGTTCGATTTTGTGGAAGCATTCGAGGTTAGGAGTTATTCTGCCGAGGTTTTCTGTGTGAGAGAGGGAGGGGGATTCCGGACGGTGGAGATGGATCGGGAAGGAGGATCCGCTGGCGCATCTTGCTACTACTCCGTTCTAGGGATTCGCAAGGACGCCTCCTTCTCTGACATCCGCACTGCCTACCGCAAGCTCGCCAAGGTAAGTCGACTACTCGGCCGCCTTCTCTGTTCTATTTTTCTTTTCCCTATCAAAACCATAAATGATGCCTTCCGGCACTGTCTTATTGCTTTCACTCTCTCTCTTTTCTGAATTTTTTTTCTTGAATTTGTGGAGAATGTGTAATTTTTTTACAAAAATTGTGTTTGAAATCTGAAATTTTGTTGATTTTATTGGAAATTCTGGATATAGTTTTTAAAATTTTGTTTTGGTATTTTCGAAGAAATGGCATCCAGATAAATATGCGAGGAATCCTGGGGTGGCTGGAGAAGCCAAACGGCGATTTCAGCAAATCCATGAAGCTTACTCAGGTAACATCACCAAATCCCTCTCCCTAGCTGAGAACTGTTTGAATCCAGTAGCTAATTCTCCACCGCCGTCCTTTAACTCTCCGTCATCGTTTACAGTTCTCTCCGACGAGAGCAAGAGATCCATGTACGACGCCGGCCTCTACGATCCCTTGGAGGAAGAAGATGAAGTTCGTACAAATATCTTTCTTCTTTATCTCGCCAAGGTTGCTCTTTTACCGCACGTGAGAAGTAAAACGGTGCCGTTTTTCTTTTGGTTTGCCTATAACAACGACATCGTTTTATGCCTCGGGTGGTAAAATGATTACCTTGGCACGGTCAAAATGGTTTAATCTTAGATTAATCATTGCGTTTTAAATTTTTTGTTTATTTGCCTTTTTGCCCCTGAATTTCATAAAATTTTATGGTCAGGATTTCTGTGATTTTATGCAAGAGATGCTCTCCATGATGAACAATGTGAAAGACGAGGTATACCCCTGAATTTTCTATTGTGAGGGATATCTTTCATGGTTGTTTTGGTAAATGTGGCCTGACGGCGGTCCATTAACTTTTTTTTTTTGTTTTTTGGTATTAGGGGGATAGTTTTGAGGACCTTCAAAGGATGTTTGCGGAGATGGTTGGCGGAGACGGCATGAGCTTCGACGTCAACGGCAACAGTCCGGCCGAGACCAAGAGGGCACGTGTCAATTCGTCCAAAGCTAATGGGGTAAAGAGGAGCTCTTGCTGTTGATCTGTGGTACCTTTATGTTCAACCATGCAAAGTTCTATCCTTGTTGTTTAATTTAGGCCTAAATTCCCTTTTAACTCCCAATTAGGGTGGTGGGAATTTGGGTGTTTTAGAGGGGAATTTTAGTCTCAGGTGTTTCACTCTGGCTTTAGGAACAATCTTATGGACTTGAAATTGGGAAGGAAAAACTTCGTGATCTTATGAATAATCTTTTACTTATTTATTTATTTATTTTTTGTGTGATTGCTTCTAAATCAAAATTATATCTCATAATAGGTTTTTGACAATCAAATTTGATAATTGTGTTACGTGTATTGGATTAGTAGCATGGGAGAGAACTTGATACTTGTGATTTTAAGTAATTGTATATTCTTGAAAATAAATATGCTACATTTCAGTTGGGAAAAAACATTGAACCTGAAGAGGTTCCTATGATTTTGTAATAATCTTTTTGGGTAACAGTTAGGTGGACCCGTTTGGGGTTTGGCTATTGGGGTAAATTTGGTGGGAGGATAGAGTAAAGCATTTTTGGGGGAGGGAAGAATGGTCCACTGCTGCTATAATTTAACTTGATTTTAATGTGTTTTTCTGACTAGTGCATCAGCAGAAGAGGCTTCTAGTCCATGCAAGTTGGCCTTAGGATATTGAAGATATTTGTGTTGCTTTCTCTTCTTTCATTGCTTTTTGGGGGTTTTCTTTGTGTTAGGTGTTTGTGGGCCTTTCTAATGTACAATATTTAATATATAAACAGTTTCAAGAATGTGGGGTTGGAATTTAAAACTTTTTGTGGTGTCATCATGTCTTTTATTTTATTATTAGATCTGGGTTTCTGTCTTTCATAATTTCAACTTGAAAATCTCATGTTTAAATTGTTGAGTGGTCTCTTGAGTAACAAATCATGATTTTTTCAAGAAAGTCTGCTTGTAAGTTGAGCCGTGCTTGAACTATAAACCACATCTTTTCACATACAAGCTGGATCTTATTTAAAATAGAGTTTTTGGTTTCGTAGACCAAATTCTAATGAATTGCAAAACATGAATCATTAAATGAGAGCAGTATCCCTTATGAGGCTCACTTAGTCACCCTTATTTAATAGTTTATGTTATGTAGTCCGTTATTGTCTAGATTGCACAACACTTATTTTGTTTAAAAAAGGGAAATTAGGAGTAATCTTTTCTTACCCTGAAGATTTCATAGCTTCTAGATATCTTTTTTAAAAAAAAATAATAATTCGGGGATAAATTTAACCCAAGCTTGAGATTTGTTTTGTTCAGTCTTGTTAAATCGCTGGGGATTGCCTCTTTTTATTAATAATTGGATTACATCTCCATCCAGGAATATTTTTATGTTAAGAGACTGTCGGAATGTTCATCAAATGAGCTATAGTTTTTAGATTATTACTCCACCATGTGTGTTCGATGAACCTTTCATGGATTTGTGCCATCCATAATTGTTCAATGAATCTAAGGACTCCTATAAAATATAAGAAGAAAGATTTTCTTTCTCTGCTTGGTTTTTCTGAATGTTGTTTCCATGTGAAGGAAAGATTATCCTTTTATCTGTTATCAGAAACTTTATAGCTTCATTACCAAACCCTTTTTTCTTTTACCACGTTAAAAAGAACAACCCTTGCCCAAAGGCGGCTGGTTTCTCTACTAGACTCTTGTTTATTATTATTATTATTATTTTTTGTATTAATCTCTCGTTATTCGATAATTACATTGAGTTTCAACTAATATAAAATTGAACTAGAACTGTATCAAATTCCGTTAAGGAGAAGCTCTTTCAGTACCTGTTTCTTCATTTACAAAACTCAAATTCGAAACTTTGCTTAAGAGAACCGAGTTTTTTTGACTTGGACCAACAAGTTGTTGATTCTACTAGACTCTTATCATATCATGGGAAAGTATGTAATTTTTCAAATACTTCTCTAATTAAAGATAGCTTTCTAATATATATATATATTAATTTCGCCGTTAGCTTTTTGATAATTTAGTTAGAGAAGTTTATAGCTTAATTAGAAACTTTTTTAAAAAATAATTACCTTGATCAATAAAATTGTGAGGGTAATACTTTTTATTGTAAATTTAAAAAATATACTAGTTTTGATTAGTAAAGGAAAATAAATTTCATATTTTTAATTAAAACAATTTGGAAAGGTTGTGTCTTTATTTATAATAAATGTTTGAAAAAATATTCTTAATATGAATTTTTCTTTGTGTTGGATAATATGAGTATTCAAATGTTTTACCAAATAAAAAGCTACTGTTATAATATTATGGGATATTATATATTTATAATATGAAGTATTATTATATAATTAGTTTTTTATCTAAAAGCTTATATATAATATTACATGTATTTATATATTTAATATTATGTTATATTTATTTAATAAAACACAAGATTGTAAACTAACTTGGCATCGCATTCTTTTTGTTTTAAATTAATTGTCTTTTTAATTTTTTTTTTTAAATTAAAGATTCAAGACGATTATGTATTTATTTATATTACTTTAAGTTAATAGATAAACTAAGATTATTTGTGATAGGATCATTAATTAAAATAAATAAATAATAATATGGTTAAAATAAAGAATAATAATTAATTTAAAATAAATTTAAATTAAATAGTCACAGTTATTTGGAGAC